AGTTGATAGCAGTGATATCCCTCGATAATTACTGCAGTCAGTTTTATCACCCTTCTTGTGAACTGGTACAATAATAGACTCCTTCCACTGATCAGGCAATTTTTCCTTATGCCAGATAGAAGTAATTAGCTTGTGGATCTTATAACATAATATTTCGCCTCCTGCTTGAATAAGTTCTGCTGGAATTTGATCACTACTTGGCAATTTATACTGTTTCAATTTTGCAATAGCACTTTCAACCTCAAAAGGGCTAGGATCAGGTACTATTGGCTCAGCTGTATGGATTTCTGTCTGCTTAACATCACTGACCCTATGAACATTGAGTAACTGAGAGAAGTAGTTCCTCCACCTATTCAAAATGTGGGAATCTGCAAGCAGATCACTATTCTCATCCTTCACTAAGTTACTGCTAGGTTGGTAACCCCTCTTAAAGTCATTTATTCCTCTATACAGGTCTCTATGTTCTTGTTCTTACTGTTCATTGCAAGCTCATCAATTTTGTCTTTCAGATATTGCCTCTTTTTGTTCCTGAAATGCCTGACACTGGCAGTCATGTTCAAGTCTACATAGTGTTATAACAAACAGGACAGTGTGCTGTATCTCCTCTCCTACTGCATGACAACTGTGAGGATGCCAGTAGCAAAGGTATGTGTCATCATAAATTTACAAACCCATTTGATAATTCACTTCCATTGTCATTTTGTCTGTTCTTGTTATTAGCAGCACTAGTATTTAAAATTTTCAATTGTTATTGTGTGTTGGCATTCCATCTGGTGAATGATATCATCAGTTGTAGACCGAGGGAGGGGCATCTCCGCACTCTTTAGTCGACAGTGGTTATGTGGAGATTCCCTCCTACTGCAGGCTGTATGGGAAAGTTGTGTGCAATATTTTGGCATGAAGAGAAAGACTCTATGATAATATAAATAATTATACTTCCCAGACACAGCATTAGAAAGTAATATTGAGAATTCTGTCAAACATATGCCTTATTGTTACTTAGAGACCGTTTCAGCCAGTCAAGGAACTAGTCTAAGAAGGATGTGGAATCTATTTTCAAAATGTTATGGCTGAAAAAACTGGGGCAATTCAGAGTGTAGTCAAAGTGATTGCATTTGTTCTTCTTAAATTTAAGTTTTACTTGATACAGTCAGAAATTATGAAACATTTTAGTGATGGTACATCACATCTGCAGATTTCCTTTTTAATCCTTCTCACAAATGTTTGGCTGCAGTAGGGGTCATTTCTCTTGTTCAGTCAAGGCCATCTCCCCCTTACCTACCTCTCTGCTTTTTCTCCCTGAAACAAGAGAGGAGCAGCCCTATGGATAGGTGGTGGGAGGTGATGAAATTGTCCCTAGCCACAGAATCCTGTGCCATGTTTAGTTCCTACACAGTGCGTCCATATATTCCGGTTATAAAACATTGCACAGAACTTTGTAGTAAAGTTCATTATGGTGTTTTCTCCTTGGTTACTGTACAGAACCATTGTACCCTATAGAAACTATATTGTAATTTAACATGAGGGCTATTAAATTGTTTGTCTCACAGTTTGTTGTGGTGGGTCTCAAACCAGTAAACCATATCTTCACATTTAAGTAATATCATCATCCTTTCTTACTGTGCTACAAACCGAAAGGTCATGGGTTCGATTCCCAGTTATGTAATTGGATTTTTAGATTGACCGAATCCTTCCAATCACACTATGACCCTGGGGTCAACTCAGCCTCTAACAGAAATGAGTACCAGGAATATTCTTGGGGGGTAAAGGGCGGCCGGTGTGTAAGGCTGACAACCTCACCGCCATCTGTGAGCTTATTGTCAAGAAAGTATGGGAGTCTCAACCCTGAAGATGGAGGCGACATGTTTCTGCAAAATGCCTGTTGACTTTCGACAGACTACAATGCATGATATCCCAGATGACAGAGCTCTTCAAAACCACTGCTGTCAGAAGCACTTTACAGTGCAGTAATTTTGTATACAGTGGTTGGTGGGTAAGCAGTTCAGGTGTCAGTCTATCTCAAGGTAATGAATTGGTAATTTTTGGACTGTGCAGTTGTGTTGTGCTAATCTCATACAAAAATTACATTACAGGACTTTGAGAGGGAAATGATTGAAGAGAAGAAACGTCAGTAAGAAGGCAAATGGAACTTGGAATGAAGTTGAGATTGGTGAGTCATTAGCAGATTCTTTATGTACAACATAGGCCTATTCAAATTAAGAGATATTGACACTTTAGTATTGGTTTTAATTGTGCGTTTATATTTCATATTTATATTTCATAAATGGTGTACCATATTTAATCATATACCGCAGTTTTGTTAGGGGTTCTAGTAGAAATACATNTGGTCTGTTACAGGGATAGCTTGGTGCATAAGGCTGCCAACCTCACCGCCATCTGTGAGCCGATTGCCTAGAAAATACGGGAGCCTTGACGTCTCACAACCCTATGGACCTCCATGGTCTGTTACAGAGATAACTTTACTTCCCCCCCCCCATGTATAGTGTCTTGGTATGTAATGAATGTCACTCATGAAGAATGCCGTCTTCTGGGATGTGGCACCGTATAGATATTGTGTAAACCAATGTACTGGAGGAACGTATCGCCTCCATCTTCAGGGTATAAAAATCCACAAGCGAGGATCTAGTGTGAGCAGGTGGCTGCAGACTAAGTCACCCAAGTTGTCCTGTAGCTGTCTTCTCCGCAGCAGGCCTTAAGGAAGAGAGTTGTCATGGGCACAAGGATTGGCCACTTGCTTTGATTATGGAGTAGAGTAGGAGATTTTGAAGAGTAAAGAATATCTGAGCTTTGAATACTTTGTCATCTTCTCTGTAACTGGATTGCAAGTCTCTTCTTGTCTGTCAGGATTGACCCACTCAAATATTAGGGAGGTGTACACGATGGTCAAGACAGGATGAAGTAAGCAAGCAAGACTAATTAAGGAATTTAATATACAGCATTGCTTTATTGTTTCAGAGATGATGAATAGTTTGGGCATCGCAAGCGCTACAGTGGTCCAACCTCAGACTTCAAAGAGGAGGAGGAGGAGGAGGAAGGCTACATCACAGATGATAATGGACATGTGCTTAATGCAAAGGAGGCTTTCAGGTTAGCACAGCTAACAGCATATCTGTTTTTAAGATAGGTCGCACTCTGGAGGGTAGCCTGTCCAATGGTAGTACATTCTTTAGGGGAAAAAGTTCTCACAGTAATTGCCATTTTAAGAAAAAATTTCCAAGGAGGAAGCGGCTTTTCAGTGGACACAGGCAAGATTGTGGGACCACTGTGTTTATCATCCATGCATGCCATCCTCACCATAATGTGTGAACCAACTGGTGGATTTATGTGAAACTCTGTATTGTCATTGTGCCACTCCCCATGTTCTTTCAGTTGTCTACCATCAGCCATATTAACATGGCGACTGAGCTGGGAGTGACACTAGAGCCACTTAAAGTAGGTCTTTAAGAAAAAGGTCCTGGGGTAAGCTGTTATACCCATTCAGAAGGTTCTGAGTTTGATCCTTGGTCACATCCGTGTACAGATTTTTCTGCTCACAGATGATGCCTTCACACCTACCAGAGTTAAAGCTTTGGGAATACAAAGGATTCCCCCCCCCCCCCCATGTTAAATTGAAGGGTCCCTCTGCTGACCAGCACTATCATGATTACCCTGTCATGGGGGGTGAGATTATTGTCTTCCACCTCAGATGCTTTCAGTAGGACATTTTGTTATATACTTGTTTTGACTTCCTTTTCTCCCATTCTGTATGTCACAGTTTCTAAGTAGCCAACGTATTGTGACATTTGAGTGTGTAAATACTTTGTACTTGATACAGTTTGTTGCGTAGGCATAGAATGTGGTAGAATGGTTCATATTGCAGATAGGTTGCATGAATTAAGAAGAAACGTGCTTCAAAATTATTACTGCCCCATTCTACTTTTATTAAAATATTTTGCATTAATCATTTCAATCCCTACAACTTTAACAGGCTGTAGCATGCCAATTTCTGGTTCTGGCTGTATCAGTAAGTTGTGTTGGAAAACAGAATGTTACATATTTTTATTATTTCACAAAATAACAGATTGAACTAATTATGGATCATACCCCTATTTTCTGGCTGGAACTTCAGGATGAAAGGATGTTACATGTTACTTGGAAACATGATCATATTCTATAAGGTCCTAAAATACAGTGACTTTAATGTTGTCTCTCTTTCTATTTTCAGATACCTGTCTCATAAATTTCATGGAAAGGGACCTGGCAGAAATAAAGTAGAGAAACGAATGAAGAACAATAAACAGGAAGGAGTGAGTATCGGTCCAGACCTGGTCATGAGCTGTTATTTGTAAATAGTACTATATTGTAGCACCCTGCTGCACTTCATTTAGTAGCAGATGGTTTTACAGTCTCACGTGCAGCACATCGTCCTATATAACTTACTAAAAGTTATTCGCTACATGTTTCAAACTATAGGGTCATGGTTAGGTGTTTTAAAGTTATAAATTATAAATGAAGAAACTCCTGTGCTTCCATATTGTGGTTGTTGGTTGTTACTGTGCTGTCNGGTCCACAGTCTCTTCCAAAACAGTTCCTCCACTTAATGTGATCTTCTGTTTTTGGAAAAAAACTGTTTTTGGTTTTTGGTGTCTCTCTTCGTCTGATGCCTACCCTTTGACCTGTCCAGCAAGGGAGGCCCTGCCAGTAGCTACGCTACCGCTGGTATAGCTCTCAGGGTCCTTGGCATACTCAAACCCCCTCACCACGATAAGGTGGAGACACCAACGAGAGGGATTTAGAATTTATAATTTCAAAAAACCTGATGATGACCTTATAGTTCAAAACATGTAATCAGTACATTTCAAAAAGTTTCATAGAAGGACGTGCTGCACGTGCGACTGTGAATCAATTTGATGCAATTTCTAAATGGTGCTCCATTAGGAAGTAAATTGTAGTTATCATTACATATTCATGATGCCACATAGCAGATAGATATCCGGCCACACTTTTTGTGCGTTCATTTTCTGCTGACTAAAAACATACACAGTGGCTTCAGTCTTGGGGCAGAAGCAAATACAGCAACTTTGCAGCAAGTCAGTTGGAGCCTGCTCATAGAACACACAACATGTTTGTTGAATTGTCATTAGGCTAGCATACATACACAGAGACATGGGTTGGAAATTGTGGGAAATTGGTGATTTTAAGCAGCAGACTAACTTAAAATTTGGGCAGCTGTTAGGATAATCAGTGAGAGGTGCTGCAAACACTTTAGCATGTTTAGTGGCAAAGAGACTGTGCCCCATCTGAGGTGTCAGGCTCAATGAGATTAATTTTTATTTTTACATATTTTTTTTGTTTGTTTCCAGTTGATGAAACAGATGAGCTCAACAGACACCCCACTTGGAACGCTTAGCGTCTTGCAGCAGCAACAGAAAGAAACAGTCTCCATTCATGGTCCTTAGTGACAGTAAACAAACATGAGTATGCTTTTTGTCTGTCACTGATTCAATTCATTCAAAAGAACTGCCAGTTCTAACTAAGAAATAGTACATAATTCTATTCATTACCTGACAAGACTTAGACATGAGACCACAGATTACTAGATGAAACCAGTCAACTCAATTCAAAATTTGTCTTATCTTGACATTACAAATAACTTTAGCTTTGTAAAATTTGAGGCTTTCACGGTGTTGACCATGAAGAAAGCAGTCTTCTGGGATTTGGCACCGTGTATATGTGGTGTTAACCGATGTTTCGGAGGAACGTATCGCCTCCATCTTCAGGGTAGAAGGAAAATATAAGAAATCCGCAAGCAAAGAGACCGTGAGAACCAGTAAAAGCAGACTGGTGTGGAAATATACACAGCTATGTGAGAGCAGAGAAGGAAGGGGGAAGGGCAAGTATACAAGTGAAAACAGTAGTGTGGGAGGGGGGGAAAGGAGCTGGGACAAGCATGGTTTTGTGTTGGGGGAGAGAAAGGCAAGGTTAAAGGCTGGGCACTAACCCGTAAGCTGAGGAGGGGGGGTTATTATGTTGGTTGGTCATGGCCTGTGTGGCCTTCTGGATCTGGCGTCAAATCCTGGTGGGGGTTTTTTAAGATAACAGATGAGAGGTTTCCAAGACTTACTGAGACAAAACCCCCCCTCTCTGTTCATATTTCCGGGATGCAGTTCAATCTCAATTGCCTCCCTAATAATGCGATCCATATAGCGGGTCTTGGTGGCGAGGATGGAGGTATTCTGAAGCTGAATGCGGTGTCCCAGATCGATGCTGTGTTCAGCTACGGCCGACTTGTCCGGTTGTTCGAGACGGATGTGCCGCTGATGCTCCTTCAACCTCATGTCCACGGAGCGGCCTGTCTGCCCAATATAGACCTTCCTGCACTCGCATGGGATACTGTATACACCCGGTGTCCTTAGGCCCAGGCTGTCTTTAACCGGCCGGAGGAAATTGGATAATTTGTATGGAGGCAGACCCACTGCTTTGATGTTGTGTCGGGACAGCACTCTGCTGATACGGTTGAATATTGTCCCGACATAGGGAAGGAAGGCGACTGAGCCCGGTTTGTCTTCAGGCCGGCTGATGTTGGGCTGATGGTTGAGAACTCTGTGGATCTGCCGGTTGTTGTATCCGTTCTTCTTGAATACATCCTTCAGGAGCACCAACTCCGCATGTAGGCTTACGGGTTAGTGCCCAGCCTTTAACCTTGCCTTTCTCTCCCCTACACAAAAACCATGCTTGTCCCAACTCCCTTCCCCCCCTCCCACACTACTGTTTTCACTTGTATACTTGCACTTTCCCCCTTCCTTCTCTGCTCTCACATAGCCGTGTATATTTCCACACCAGTCTGCTTTTACCGGTTCTCACGGTCTCTTTGCTTGTGGATTTCTTATATTTTCCTTCTACCCTGAAGATGGACGCGATACGTTTCTCCGAAACGTCGGTTAACACGACATATACACAGTGCCAAATCCTAGAAGACTGCTTTCTTCAACAGTACCTTTGACTTAAAGGCTGAGTAGATGAGTCGCCATATAGTAATGTTGATAATGTCATTTAGTGATTATACTGCCGCAAAGTAAATATTTGTTTTTCTCTGAGTATGTCACTCATCTTGTTATAATTTCTAGACTGTACACAGTAAAGTGTCATTTTAATGATGGATTGATTAATAAGACTTTCCTCCTTGGTACTCTGAAACTTTACTAAAAATTTCTGTTTTTGACGCAGTTTATGAAATTTAATTTTCAAAAAGAAAACCACCATGTGAGGTTTTTGTGTGTTCATCAAGTTTAACATGTGCATTGCTACATTTTCTTTATTTCTTTCGTTTTCAGGGCAGCCGTCTCGAAAACAAAACTGTAAATTCTTCATGAAATATGCTGGCACCAGCTCTGAAGTTTAGTGTGGACTTATGTGTTTATTGTTTCTTACTGCCTGAAATTATCATCTCTATTTTTAAATAAGACACAGCTTGCAGCTGCCGATATTGCCTAAATGTACTGCAAGGAAGGCCACAGAGTTCATGTCACATTCAAATGAGTACAGTGTTCCTCCTGCTTCCTTAGGTAACCTGTTGGCACCTGGTAGCTGAAAAGTACAATTTCTAATGATTAGTTGCTTGTTTATAGGACTTGAGCCAGATGAACAGCTTCTAAACTAAATCAGACAGAAGTAATTATATTTGGCCTTTCTTGATTGCAATAGCAATATTTGTACACCCCCATCCATGCTGCATTCAACTCTGAAAATTGCAACAAGCAACAGAATCAGAAGATGTACAGTCTACTGCAAATCATTGTAAAGCACCACTGCTATATTACTGAAACAGTTGTAATGGGTTATAAAAGTAACCTTGTTCATCCTGGTCCATCACACTAGTAATTGTATATAATATTTTTAACCACCGTCCATTGTGATTGATAAAAGTTGTTTTTAATTTTTCATCCTTTACATGTTCCAATCAAAATGACCATCTTCAGAAAGGTATTATGAACACATATGGAAACTACTATTACATGCCATAGATATAAATATAATATGTTTTTAACTGATATTAAGATGTACATAGTAAAAAAAGTAAAGCTAGCCCTGTAACAGGCCATGAAGGCCCATATGGTTGTGAGACGTTAAGGGTCCCACACTATCTAGACAGTCGGCTCAAAGATGGCGGTAAGTTGTCAGCCCTACGCACCGGCCGCGCTTTACTCCCCAGGAAAATTATTTATTTAATTCCTGGTACTCATTGATGGGTTAAAGCATCTAAAAATTATTACAATTAGTCTGTTTACAAAATAATGTTCAATATTTGTTTTAATCTAGAACCAATTGGGTTTGTGTTGTTACACTTCTGTAATAATTTTAGATGTTTTAACAAGTCAATATACACCTTAGCATTAGATACTATAGGGTTCTGACTATGGTGTATAACACACAGAGATACTGGGTTTTTGGACTTTGTCCAGCGTCTAGATTCTAAATAACCAGTTATTAGTTATTTAGAACCCAGTATCTCTGTACCTTAGCATTAGTTAAAGGAAATAACACATGTATGACATGGTAACAGTAGTTTCCATATGTGTTGATAATATCCTTCTGAAGATGGTTGTTTTGACTGGAACATGTATAGGATGAAAAATTAAAAACAGCTTTTATTATTTACAGTGGACAGTGGTTAAAAATCTTATATATGGTTATAAAAGTCCTGTGTTTAATCCACATGCAGATGATCCAGAGTCTTGTGTAGGTATATGGATACTTGAAAGACACGTAGACTTGGCCAATAATATCAGGTCATGAAACTGTGTAAGACTGATCTTAAGGCATCTTCGTGGAGGTGGTGATAATGATTTGAACCCAAGATGAATATATAAGTCAGTGCTGAACATTATCTGAAGTCTGAATTGTAATCCTGATGTGTTACTAATCTTCACATAAGAAGGTATGCTGACGGACTCCAGGTGTTCGCAAACTTACATTTTTCTTGATATCAGAAATGTATAAATGTAAGTTGATATCCTCAGTGACATTCATTCCAGCCACCTAATTATTTAAGACAGTTTCACTGTGTTTTAGTCTTTGTTAATAGAAATTAACTTGAAGTCACATTATTACAAAAGTTGTTACATTTGTGTATTTCTTCATGAGATGGGGATTATAATTTAAAGCATGTACACCAACTCCATTAGGTGCATGCAGATTGTGTTGTTCAGTTAGTGTGGTTACTTGCAAGTTTGGAATTATGTGTGGAGTTGATTTCAGTTTGTAACATTCTCACCCAGAGCAGTCTGCTTATGGTTGTTGATGGTCATTACTATCTGTCCTTACCATAGGTGATTAATTTTTTAGTAAATGGTTTCCAAACAGAAGATATGACACTCCTGTCAAAAGAAACTGAAGATTTTGTTTCTTGATTAGTCAGTATCCTGTTGAGAAGGGTATAATAAAATAGTTTCACTTGGTGTAGTATTTAAATGAATATCAGCTTTAGGAAAAACTATATAAAAATGTTTTAGTTTCATAATATATTTGAATGCACTAAAAGTTTAAATGTAAACTTGAGGTGGCCACGTGCAGTTGGAGCCCAGGCAGGGCCACTGAAGCATCAGGCCGATAGCTTTAAATGGTTGCAGTGGTAGACTTACCATTTATTAATTTGTACAGATTTCCTAACAGACTTGCTACTGTGATGAAGACTTGTTCAAACAACGCTCTGAGAAATAATTTCATTATGTAACATAATTCATCTGAACTGATTACAATTCAGTTAATCAGTACACACAATTACTGTACTGTTGTAGTGTGCCAATATTTCTTGTTTATAAATGGAAGTACAGTCATCTACAAACACCAGTGTTATGTGTGAGATATGAGATATTCACGGCACTGATCATGACGAAGTTTGGTGTGACGCTGTATAGGTGGGTAGGAGTCTGCCAACATTTTGGAGGAATGTACCGCCACCTTCATAAGGGTAGACTTCTGCTACATACATTCTATCACATCCTGACTTTTCAGCAGTATTATTGAGGATAAGTCTTCTGAAATGTAATGCTCTGTAATTTGTTTTTACCATCACTGCAGACAAATATACTTCCTCCATCTTCAGGATGGAAAATTGAAGCTGAAGGCAATGTGTTCCTCTGAAATGTCATTAAACTTCTACCAACCTACACAGTATCATATCCCGTATCATCTACCAAATGAAACTGCTGTTTGTGGATGACCTGATTTCATATTGTGACTGCAAACACAACATGATGTTTCAAAGGGTATTATTTATGAATGGGAACAAGTCAAACATCTGTACACATAATCTAAATGTCTGATATCTGGAGTCATCCTAAAGCTGGAGGCACACATTCCAGCAAAACTTTAGTATCCACCTATCAGATTGCAGCGTGGCGTGTTTTGCCAGAACCCTGGTATCCGCCTGCCAGACTTCAACGCAGTGTTATAGCACACAACGTCCCCACCAAGGAACTTGATGATTCTACAGCTTTCCAGTTTTGTCAGGAAAGTTATGTCAAGGAATTGTAGCTCAGATGGGGGGAACACACATACTATTTAATTTTGTACATCCTAATGTGTTATGATATACAATTCTTGATTGGAGTCTGTCGTAACACAACAACATAACGGTCAAAGTTAAAATTACCTAGCTACATGTTTCGGCTATTTAAAGCCATCATCAGGCAAAGCACATGATTACTGTGTCTGAATATAGTAATCATGTGTTTTGCCTGATGATGGCTTTAAATAGCCGAAACATGTAGCTAGGTAATTTTAACTTTGACCGTTATGTTGTTGTGTTACGACAGACTCCAATCAAGAATTGTATATCATAACACATTAGGATGTACAAAATTAAATAGTATGTGTATTCCCCCCATCTGAGCTACAATTCCTTGACATAACTTTCCTGACAAAACTGGAAAGCTGTATAATCATCAAGTTCCTTGGTGGGGACGTTGTGTGCTATAACACTGCGTTGAAGTCTGGCAGGCGGATACCAGGGTTCTGGCAAAACACGCCACGCTGCAATCTGATAGGTGGATACTAAAGTTTTGCTGGAATGTGTGCCTCCAGCTTTAGGATGACTCCAGATATCAGACATTTAGATTATGTGTACAGATGTTTGACTTGTTCCCATTCATAAATAATACCCTTTGAAACATCATGTTGTGTTTGCAGTCACAATATGAAATCAGGTCATCCACAAACAGCAGTTTCATTTGGTAGATGATACGGGATATGATACTGTGTAGGTTGGTAGAAGTTTAATGACATTTCAGAGGAACACATTGCCTTCAGCTTCAATTTTCCATCCTGAAGATGGAGGAAGTATATTTGTCTGCAGTGATGGTAAAAACAAATTACAGAGCATTACATTTCAGAAGACTTATCCTCAATAATACTGCTGAAAAGTCAGGATGTGATAGAATGTATGTAGCAGAAGTCTACCCTTATGAAGGTGGCGGTACATTCCTCCAAAATGTTGGCAGACTCCTACCCACCTATACAGCGTCACACCAAACTTCGTCATGATCAGTGCCGTGAATATCTCATATCTCACACATAACACTGGTGTTTGTAGATGACTGTACTTCCATTTATAAACAAGAAATATTGGCACACTACAACAGTACAGTAATTGTGTGTACTGATTAACTGAATTGTAATCAGTTCAGATGAATTATGTTACATAATGAAATTATTTCTCAGAGCGTTGTTTGAACAAGTCTTCATCACAGTAGCAAGTCTGTTAGGAAATCTGTACAAATTAATAAATGGTAAGTCTACCACTGCAACCATTTAAAGCTATCGGCCTGATGCTTCAGTGGCCCTGCCTGGGCTCCAACTGCACGTGGCCACCTCAAGTTTACATTTAAACTTTTAGTGCATTCAAATATATTATGAAACTAAAACATTTTTATATAGTTTTTCCTAAAGCTGATATTCATTTAAATACTACACCAAGTGAAACTATTTTATTATACCCTTCTCAACAGGATACTGACTAATCAAGAAACAAAATCTTCAGTTTCTTTTGACAGGAGTGTCATATCTTCTGTTTGGAAACCATTTACTAAAAAATTAATCACCTATGGTAAGGACAGATAGTAATGACCATCAATAACCATAAGCAGACTGCTCTGGGTGAGAATGTTACAAACTGAAATCAACTCCACACATAATTCCAAACTTGCAAGTAACCACACTAACTGAACAACACAATCTGCNCGATGCACCGCGGCAAAATGTAAACAAAAACCAGGTACTTTCCGATGCACCGCGGCAGGAACACGAACATGCGGCAGTTATACGACCATGAGTGATGAGTAGCCAATCAGCATTAAGGGGTGGGGCCACTTAAGTGCTTACTGCACAATCTATGGGTACAGTAAACGAAACCACGCCTCCAGGGGCGGAAAAGGAGTTATCATTTGACCTCCCCCTCCAAACCCCTTCCTAAAAATGTGTAGCCAACCAACATAAAGGGGCGGGGGCACATAAGTCCACA